TCAGCAGCGAAAATAGTTAAACAAAGATCACAGCAGAACCATCGCGCATCTCACAGCAACGCGTTCTCATTACTGAATGATTCAGCATTTTGAACGAATCGGTTGACTCAAAGATTCAATGACCAATCAATCCATAAACATCTATCTCATTCATGAATGACTCAGTCGTTCAAACGAATTAATCAATGACTCGCTCATTAAGACGGTCGCCTGGCGACACCTAATGACGGTTTAGTGTTATGTTTAAAAGTATCATTCTTTCCAACGATTGTTAATTAACTCATATTTGAAACATAAGCTATATTTATATATATACATACATATACACACACATACACAAAAATAAAATAAAAACACATTTGAAACGTGTTTGCTTACTAAATTGTGAGCTGAACGAAAGTTGCAGCAAATATCAGCAACAGGAGTCAAATTTCATTAATCACGAGAGTGAAGAGCTGACTGAAAAGATGATGACGGAATAGGCTATTTTATGTAAAAACGCCTATTTAAGCGAATCTGTCATTGTACTCTTTTATTGTTGTGTTTTCCGTGAAAAATAATAGACTATTGAACTCACAATTCAAGCAATCGGCCCCCGAAATTGCACTAATTTTAGTGACACTAAAAAGTATGCGGCTGCACTGGCATTCATAATGGTGCGCGTCCATGGCGACGAGCGAGCAGAACAGAGCGAACGTTTAGTTAATTTCTACTTCCATAGGAATTCATTCGAGCACCACCATTTCAATGTCCGTGCGGACGTCCATATTATACTTTCGCTTTCAAGTTAGTGTTTTTAAACCCCCCAGCGGGAGGTTTACACAATTGGTTTACACAATCACACGTTGATTAACCGGTGGGAAAATATTCCCATAGTAACATCCCTAATATATAAATATATAAATTCAATAGGCCTACCTGATTTTGAACACAAGAGGGCAGTATAGCACTATATATGATTTGGATTATTATTATTTTTGACTAAACAACCATTCTGGCTGTTTTTAAACTTAAAAATAATTCTTAAATTGAAAAAAAGGAATAAAATGGGTTTAGTTCTAATATTTGTATAATTTTATATAAAAATAAATGGTGTATAATTACATTTTAGAAAGATATGAGACATGCCCTGATTCTTTTTTTGACATTATTGTCCTCGATCAGAGCCCTAATCTGTTTATTTTTTCAGTTACACATTCTACATTGATTAAAAAAGAAAAATCAAATGTGTTTTTATTTTATACAGAAATAAATAATCTATCATTCAGATGAGAATAAAGTTAGTGTTAGTTCAAATTTTAAGGAAAACAAATATATGATCTGAAATATAGCACATTCATTTATAATTCATTCAGGTTCAATTACCAAACATACAAATCTCAATGTAATTTAAAGCAAACAATACATTTAAAATACATGGGTTGTATGCTATTTTTTTTTTATATAAAAAGATATATATCCAAAAAGACAAGGCCTAAACTTTAACAAGGGTTAAACAATCACTGTAACAGACACAATCACACACACACACACACACACACACACACACACACACACACACACACACACACACACACACACACGTCAAATCACTTACATTTTAGATGCAATATTGACTTTTTTTTCTGTTTCAGCAGCGAAAATAGTTAAACAAAGATCACAGCAGAACCATCGAGCATCTCACAGCAACGCGTTCTCATTACTGAATGATTCAGCATTTTGAACGAATCGGTTGACTCAAAGATTCAACGACCAATCCATAATCTGTCTCATTCATGAATGACTCAGCCGTTCGAACGAATCGTTTGAACGAATGAATCAATGACTCGCTCATTAAGACGGTCGCCTGGCGACACCTAATGACGGTTTAGTGATATTAAAAGTATCATTCTTTCCAACGATTGTTAATTAACTCATATTTGAAACATAAGCTATATATATATATATATATATATATATATATATATATATATATATATATATATATATATATATATATATATATATACACACATATATATACACACACATATATATACACAAAAATAAAATAAAAACACATTTGAAGCGTGTTTGCTTACTAAATTGTGAGCGGAACGAAAGTTGCAGCAAATATCAGCAACAGGAGTCAAATTTCATTAATCACGAGAGTGAAGAGCTGACTGAAAAGATGATGACGGAATAGGCTATTTTTTGTAAAAGCCCCTATTTAAAGTCCCACTCCGATCATATTTTTTAGCTATTTTTAAACATTCCCAGTGGTCTTTAAATTATGATTATGCCATTTTTAGCCAAAATCACAAAACCTGTGCCGTTTTCTGGGACTTCGCTTCAGCAGAGCGGCAGTAGCTCATTAGAAATTCGCCTCTGCGTTGTGGGCGGAGCCGTTGGCACGGAGGCACGGGGACGACCCTCCCCCTCCCCATTGCTGAGAGCTCTGTCTCTCCCGCTAGCTTACATCCCCAACCTGTCAATACCGGTGCAACAAAAATGGAGAACAATATTGGAGCTATCCAGCCGTACAGTTTTGAGCCAGATGCCAGCTCGGACGAGGAACAAGACGACGTACATAGATCTAGTCGTCTACAAGTGGATGTATCAGAATGGTAACGTTATTGTTTTTGTAATCTCTTGAATTGACTATTTCAGGCCAATAACTCCTAATAACATGTTAGTAAATAAATATGTTTGTGGACATGCTCCAAACATTTAGTCAGATTAACCTTTTTGAAGTTTTCATAGCTATCACACAAAGAATAAATCATAGTGCTGCAGAATCAAGTTTAAATTTAAGTTTACTTATAGAGCACAGTATGAGCTTGTGGCCCCGCCCAGTGGAGTTACTACGTCACAACTCCAGTCTATTTCAAACGGCATTTTTGCGTCTGCTACTGATTCACAGCCATTTGAATGTAGAAATACTCAGAAATACAACTTTGAGCCTATTTTTCTAAAGATATGTCCTCTAACATAAGAAAAATGCCACAAGAACATGTTAACACCTAGAAAAACATTATTTTCATCGGAGTGGGTCTTTAAGCGAATCTATCATTGTACTCTTTTGTTGTTGTGTTTTCCGTGAAAAATAATAGACTATTGAACTCACAATTCAAGCAATCGGCCCCGTTATTGCACTAATTTTAAAGTGACACTAAAAAGTATGCGGCTGCACTGGCATTCATAATGGTGCGCGTCCATGGCGACGAGCGAGCAGAACAGAGCGAACGTTTTTTAGTTCATTCCTACTTCCATAGGAATTCCCTCGAGCGCTCTGCACGTGGCCATTATCAATGTCCCGTATTTAAAAGCTCTCGGTCCTCAGTCACATACCAAATATATGTATAATGTATATATAAATATAATTTTGGACACAAGAGGGCAGTATGGCCCTATGTATAATTTTGTGTTTAAACTAAAAGAGCCCCTCCCCCCCTCCCCACACAGACACAGACACACACGAATGGCAGGGTGCATTCTCTCTGTCAGAGGGAGAGGGAGAGAAAATTCTCAGAAACATCCACATTCAAACCAAAATATCTAACTTCCTCTTGGTCTGAGCTAATGACAGTTAATTAGAAAGTTGTCCGGCTTGATCTGAACCATATGCATACCTGTGTCTGTCGAGTTTCATGCAATTTCAAGCATGCTAAGAGTCTCAAAAGCATCAAACAAGAATATTAAAGTTTGATGTGTTGCCACGGCAACAGTATCTAAGATATCAATAATCCTTTCACAGGTCTACATCTGCCGTGTGTTTACATTATACACATAAAGTTTGAAGCAAATCGGGTAAAAATAAGAGGGTGATTTCAAAGCATTTAGGAAGTGACACACTTCCTGCTGCCAGTTGGTGGCGCTATAACTTTGACTCACAATAGTCACATCCATGTGATCGGGCTCTTACAACGAACACACTGTTGAAGTTTCATCAAGATCAGTTAATGTATGCAGTAGTTATGACACACTTCCTGTTTCACGTTTCTCGCCATAATTTTGTTTCCTCGCCACGGCCAAACCGTTCGAGATATCAAAAATCCCCTCGCAAACTTTCATCCTCAATGTCTTGACTTCATGCTGACCGAGTTTCGTGCCGTTTGTTTGAATTCTCTAGGAGGAGTATTTCACATTCCATTGCGTGTGTTTTACCAACAACCCTAAATAGCCGACTTCCTGTTGGGCTGGGGTAAAAAGTAAGAGTGTGAAGTATATATGAAACGAGGAGATCTACATGTGTACCGAGTTTCATATTATTACATGCAAGCGTGTTTGATTTATGGACCATGTTTTCGGACCCCGTTCCAGGGGGCGCTGTCGAGCCCCCCTGCCACGCCCGGGTACCATCTTCAGCCCGGCCCTGATGGCCGCGGGTTCTGACATGTGTGCAAAGTTTCAGGAGTTTTTGAGCATGTTAAGGCCTCCAAAAGTGTCCAAAAGGTAGCAGAAAAATAATAAGAAGAATAATAAATAATCCTAAGGAAAACAATAGGGCCTTCGCCCTTTGGGCTTGGGCCCTAATAATAATAAATAATCCTAAGGAAAACAATAGGGCCTTCGCCCTTTGGGCTTGGGCCCTAAATACTATTTTAGTTTTATGTTATACTAATGTATTTTAATCTAAAATGTTAACACAAGATGAATCATGTGCAGTACATTATAACCAGGATTGTGCATTATAAAAATCCATTATGGTTTCATGTTAACTTTAATGCAACATTTTACAGCATCTCTTTACTTTTAGACTCCTTCATTCACATTTTCCCACTTTATCTTCCCCAGTATTCCTCAATGTTTCCCTTATAGCTACAGTAAACCCATAGTTTACCTGCTAATGCACGTCTTCCTTTTCTGAAAATCATGGTAGACATTCCTCCTGTTTTTCTGTGCTTTTACTGTTCATCATTCTTCAGTGGTGCTCTACAGCTTTCGTTCTGTTTTGTTTTTGTGTTTTCGTTTGTTTTCACTCCTCTCTGTACACAAGATCCATCATGTGTCTCTTTTAGCTGGACGGGACGGAGGGGGACCTTGACGTTCACGACGACCGCATGTCGTATCTCTCGGCGATGAGCGCTGACTATCTCAGCATGGACAGCCGGCTGGCCAGCGACTATGAAGACACGGCGGATGAGGGCGGGACTTACACAGATAACGAAGCGGACGAACCACTCGACCGCCAGCGGGTGTCGGCCATTAGCCGTTCCTCTGAGCCAGTCATGCCAATGGAGGTTAGCACTCACATTTAACATATCTAAAGGGTTCCCACGGTCATGGAAAACCCTGGAAATATCAGGGAATATGCGCACACTTTCACACTCATGCATGCATACTAATTCCAAAACATTGATGGCTATTTATCATGGGCGCAGACATATGGACACATGCATCCCTCACAGTGATGGTGAACTGCATGACATCTACACACTTAAACATGCTTGCTGCGACGGCATCCCTCACAGTTGCCTAGATCAGCACAAAGTCAGCTGTGTGCTATAAGAAAGACAGCAGAGGTCAAGCCAGCAAGGAAATACATTTTCATATTGAGCATAAGACACCAGCACACTCTTGTCATGCATGCATTTCCTGGTGTAAGTGCAGGAAGTGCATGACAATGAGTTTACATGGCAAATCATGTGGAATTCATGTTTTTAAAAACAAAACAAAAAACATTCAGAGTATATGTAAATGCAAAAAGCAGACTCTTCTGCCCCCTTCTGTTAGATGTTGGAACTACAACATTACTGATCACTAAATATTTACTCTACACAGGGTAACAGATTATGATTATATCCTGCTAATGTCATTATTAAGGTTATGAAAAACCTGGAAATATCAGGGAGACAGTGTTGGGATTGTTAACTATTGTCAGTGTCGTTAACTAACACTAAAACTATTAAAAGTCAAAAACTATTTTTTAAAACAAAATCTTTTTTTAACTTTTCGTTAATTGAAATGAAGCTGAAATAAAATAAAATATAAATATTAGATATAGTTAGATTATAGATATAAAATGTGAAAAGTTGTCTTTGCAACTAACTGAAATAAGTTGAAGTTGAAGTACTAAAATTACTCCAAAAAAAATACAAAACAAAAAAAATGTCTAAAGTACAAAAACTAAAATTACAATGAAAACTGAAAATATTAAATAAAAGCAAATTCAAAATATTAATAAATACTGTAACAGTATATAATAATACTAAAAGAAACAAATAAATTGTGTTTTAAAAGGCCTGGACAAGACATGAACATGAATTTTACAAAATAAATAAATAAATAAAAATCGTCGTATCTTTAGTCCTCGTGAAGGACTGGAAAAGTCATGGATATGAATTGGTCAAAACAAAGGTGTGGGAACCTTATAGATGGATGGATGGATGAATGAATGTGAATGTTAAATCAGAAGTATGCTAGATTGTTGACCCAAGACAAACACATTTCTGTGTGTATGCATGAATGAATGCATTCCCCTGTCTTTCTATGTTATCTGAATACTCCCCCCCTCCAGATCCTCAGGAAGTCCAGCCCAGAGATTCGAGGTCGTGTCCGCAGGGTGGGCAGCAGAGAGATGCTGACCGAGGCTAGTCCCCCCTTCATGTCCACCTTCCTGCCTGACCCCGCGAAGGTGAGCTCATGTCATGCTCCCTAGTGGCTTTCCCTTCTTAAAAACACCATTCATCATTTACCAGATATTAGACTAGTGTCAAAAGAGAAAACTAAAATTGCATACAAGTCATTTGTTGGCCACTTATGCCACACTTTAAATAGAGGAATGTCGTTGCATTGATATTTTATTATGTAATGCATTGGCATGCATCCATTTCCTAATACTTTGTAGAGACTCAAAACTTTGCAGTAAAGATGATAAACTCACTCAGACTAACACAACTCTTCCCCTGACTGAACCCGCATTCATGCAGAAGAACGGCCTGATTTGGCGCAACCATTTTTCCAGCAGTTCAGAATCATCTCGCAGCAGCTCAATGGCACATTGTGGTAATAACTAGTGTAGTTTACTTGAAAGAAACTGTCAGAATCTAGTTGATTTTGAATAATTTGTGTCAGACATGTGACCTTGATGTAAAAAAAAAACCAAAGATGGTAATTGGTGGTAAAGTAGTTTAGTAACCATTTACAATAAGGTTCAACTCGATAACATTAGTTAATTAAAATGTAATTTTTACAGCATTTTTTATCTGTTATTATATTATAATATGTTATAAATTTTTTTGTAATTTGTAATTCATATTTTTTCATAATACATTAACTATTTATTTATCTTTAAATATGTTAAAAATGTATTGACATATGTAGAAATTATTTATCGTTAATTCATGACAGGGTTATTTAGGATTATTATTTATATACCACTACTATTTATAAATATTTTGAATTAGCTTTTATTTTTATATTTTCGGTTTTCATTTTAGTTTCAGGTTTAATAATTGTATGTGCTTTTGTCATTTTTATTAGTTTTTGTTTTTTTAATATTTCTATTTAGCATTCATTTATTTTTATTTCAGTTGTAGTACTTTCTGTTTTTTTTTTTTTTTTTCAGTTAGTTGCAAAGGCAACATTTCCAAGAATTTCATCTAATATTTATTTTATTTCACTTCAGCTTAATTTCAGTTAAAGGTGCTCTATGTAACTTCTAGCGGCCTCTAGTGGTGATGTTTCAGATTGCAACCAAATTTTACAAGAGCGCTCGTGCTCGAACTCATAGACAATACCGTCTATTACGCAAATATCTCAGTGAATACTAGACGGATTCGGCGAGCACCGAGCTCGTTGGGACCATCTAGTCGAGCTGAAAAGAACCATATAAGTTCCATAGTTTTTGGTGGTGTTTTGGCGAAGATATTAGCAGAAAACCATCGGGCACGCTGCAAAATTGCAGACGCCGGTGACGTCACGATCCCAGAAGAAAATAGCTCGTATCTCTGGAACGCAAAGACCCAGAGAGCTCAAATTCGGGGGAGGAGGTCCCAGGGGAACCCTTGCCCGAACGCTAGAGTGGCGGGCCTCGGGGATGCCCCCTACCGGATCGCCGTTCGCTGGGACCCCCGATTTCGAACGGCTATAACTCGGGGAGCCGGGCGAGTTGGACCTCGGGGGTGGGCTCGTTCGAAAGGCCCCGTCCAGCACTACGAACGATTAGAGTCTTGGGAATATTGATCAAAGATTGACTGAGATATAAGCCGAAAAACGTGCGCCTTTAACCGGACGTAACTCCCTGACCGTCTACAATAGACTGTATATAAGGAGAGAGGCTTGGGAGCGCGCATGCACGTCACATCCGTTGGATTTCGCGGTAAATCCGACCCGGAGACTTCACATAGAAATAGGAATACTGGCCTTCAGAGGTAATAGCAAAACTCGACAAGTGGATCATTTTAATGTGTGATTACAACCCCTTCACACACAGGCAATAAAAAAAAGGATTCATTTTAGTAGAAAAGTTACATAGAGCACCTTTAACAAAATTAATTTTTAATAGTTTTAATGAACAATAACGGGTTCATGGTACCTAATGTATTAACTCATGTTAAAGAATTAAACTTATTGTAAAGTGTTAATGGTAGTTTTAGTGTTTTGGCAGTGTTTATAGAAAAACTGGCACAATTAGTAGTTCGTGTTGGAGATTGTACTGGTAGTGTTGCTGTTGTAGGTTTTGTGTTTGGAATCATGGATCTCAGTGTGAAAATACAGCGGTGGTGACCCTGAGTAGATGCTTTAAATCTCAGTATAATCCAGTGCTAAAACTGGCCTTTACCTGTGGTTTTAAGGCCAATTCATACGGCACCGACAGACAGTCACCAGATTACAGTCACTTCTCGGACATTCTGATTCTGATTCAGCATGTCCAATCAGCGAAAACAAGCTCTGACCGATGTTAACAGGGATCCGAAAAAACCTGACGAATGCTGTCTTATCGGTGCGGTGTGAATTGGCTTTAAGAGGCCATATTCACACAGAATGCGTTTTTGCTTAAGTTGAACTTATTTTAACTTGAGTGCCTCTTTTTTCTCTAAAACACATATTCAAATGTCTTTCAGGTAAAAGTGCTGTCACAAGTGGAGGTGTCACGGGGGCACTACGACCCCTCTCGAAACTACGACTCTCGTTCAAGCAGTCCCGCAAGCAGCGAGCACCCGCGCAGCCAGGACTCTCCGGCAAAAAACAAGCCCCCTCCTCCCCCGCAAGCACTCAAACCTACCTTCGCGTCCCGCAGCTCCAGAGGCCTCGTAAACAGCCCCCCGGTACGGGACAATGAACCCCTGGGGGACAGTCCCGACGATCCTTCTCAGAGGTCTTTCCGGGGCAAAGTGAAGGCCTTCGAGCAGATGGATCACTTCGCCCGGAACCAGAGAGTTCTGGAGATCCAAGAGGCCCAGAACGCCAGGGTGAGTTTTCATCAGCTTTAGGCTTTGCAGTACAACGACTTTTCGTCAGTCTCCTCTGATGCTAGGTTGGCATAGTAGCATATTCATTAAAGGCAATTTGCTATGACTTCGATGTGTCCCTTACACTCGTCATCCAGTAGCTAAAAAAAAGTGCATCACTATTTTTTTCATTCTGTGATGAATCAGTAGGAATTATTAATTCATTGTTTAATTTAAAATGGGTCTTTTCCTTTGATCTGTGTTTTTTCTGTCGTCTGTAAACCTGCTTTGGAACAAAATATTTGTATATTGTAAAATATACACCATTAAATCGAATGCTATACAAATAAATTGAATGGAATTTTAAAATTGAAAGTTGTTTAATTGGAGGGTTGTTGCAGTTAACTAAGGCCCTGTCCCAAATGGCACACTCCGGACTTGTGGACTTCCTCAGAGTCCACACTTCGGTGACGTCATGTAGTGCAGACCTATAGGGCCCTTAGCGCGAGTCCGCGAGGGCGCATTGAGAGGTATTTTTGGGACAGACTCGATCGTCACGCCGGAAACAGGAAGACGGTCTGGTTGTTGTTATGGACAGGAGCTACTGGTTCGGGGAAATATGCTGCCTATCGTTGTTGTGTTTACATATGACTCAGTAAAGCCCTGACATTCTGTTCTATTTATTTAATGAATCATAATGCGATCGTATTATTCAGCTCGCTATTATTAGCCTATGTTTGAGACATCAACCACTGGTCGATGATCATAATGTTTGTATAAACTTGTTATAAAAACCGTAATGATAATTACACTTAAATATTTTCCTCTCAGCCATGTTAACAATTGTCCGTGAGCGAAATCTCCTCCCATCCGTTGTCTGATTGGCCTTTCGCAAGGATTCCTGGGTAGTTAAAGTGCGTGGAGCCTGCATCTATGCGGGCTTCGCGGAAGACCGCTTCAAGGGTACAAAGGGGGCGCTGCTGAGCACACTTCAGAGCGTTAAAATGCTAAATGGGACGGCCTATGGACTCGTAGACTCGGCGAGCACGCGCAATTTAAGTCCACGAGACCGAAAGTCCGCATGAAGTGCGCCATTTGGGACAGGGCCTAAAACTATTAAAAACATGTTAATTGAAATAAAGCTGAAATTGAACATTTTAACTAAATGAAGATTAGAAATGTTGCCCTTGCAATACACTGAAATAAGTTTTAAGTTAAAGCACTAAAATTATTAACTGGAAATAACTAAAACTGAAATAAAAATACATTTAAAACCTAAATAGCAATATTTATATATATAAAAACCCCAAATAAAATGACAAAAGCACATAATGAAATTACTAAAATTACACAAAAATTAACATGAAAACTAAAATATACAAATTAAAGCTAATTCAAAATATTAAATAAGCTATAATAAAAAAAAGAAAAGAACGAAATAAATTAAAAGAACACTGCTGTGCAGTCATCTACTGTATATGCTGGGTAGGTTGACAAAAACTCATTTTAGCAGTTAAAAAATAAATGAAAATTCATATTAAAACTCTATATTTATTATTTAAAACATTATATATTAAATATAAAAATTATAAATCAACATTTTCACTCTTCTGGAAAAACAATCCAAAAGTATTGATGATAGTAAAAATGTTGTCTAATAAAAAAGAGAATTATAAATACCAAATTATAAATACCAATTGCATGTACTGTAGCAAACCACAGATCTGATTGACTAATTTTCTGCCAAAATATACAAGCAATTCTGATGCGTTCATACTGTATTGTCTTTTTTCAGGTGGAGATTGCTCAGAAACATCCAGACATCTATGCCGTCCCCAAGAAGTCTCAGAAACTGGACCACAGCAGGCCACAACCTATCGGGTAAGAGTTTTGTTTTGATCTGAAAGTGTGGTCACATACGCGAAATTTTGCGGGCGATAAAGATCTATGGTATTTGTTTATAGCATAGGTTCTCAAAGTGCGGCCCGCGGGCCAATGGCGGCCCGCCGAAACATTTCTGGCGGCTCGCGATAACATCTGTAAAACTGTTAAAACTATTGCTTTGAAAAAATGAATATCTCCGTTTAGTGGTGTTTAGCGGCATCCATAGGCATAAGCGGTAATTACATGGTCCGACCGACCGATCGCACTTGACCTCACTCCCAAGGCCACCAGGAACAGGTTGTCTACACAGGAATAGGAATTGTGGCCAACCGAAACCAGCACCACAAATCCCATTGCAATTTAAAAGGGTATGTTGACCAAGTAATCAATATTCAATGTGACTTAATAATAATCTTAACAATGTCAAGCTTATTAATAGCCGCGTTTCCATTACCTTTCAAAATGTTCGCGGGCGCGAACACTTGCATTTTCCTATCAACAGTGGAAACAACTTAAACTAGTCTATAATTTCTGGTCATACAGAAAATAATAATGCATTATTCGCAACTACTTTTATTTGTGTACACTCATAACAAGAAAACGTGCTTTTGTAAAATAAAATAAAACAATCAGTAGCCTAGGGCCTAGGCTATTACGCGCTTTCATGATCTCCGTGAACTGGAGCGCGAGAACTGAAACAAAATATAGCCTATGTAGGCTAAAGCTTAAAATGTGCACTTTTAAACAAACAAACTCGAATCGAAAGCAAATACCTGATTATGTAATCCGTATGAAAGGTGGATTTCTCTCTAAAAGCGCATCTGCTTAACAGCGGAGATGGAGATATGTTTTTAGCCGACACTTAGAAAACAATAGTTTATTAATAAACAATTTAAATGCCTCGCTGTTTTTTCAGACGCATTTATTATCATTAGCCTATAACTCAAATCAGGCTAGATCAGACACGTACAGGCTATATGGCTCTTCTCATTCATCACTGCGGGAAAAATATAAATTCCAGGTTCTAATTTGGCCTTTTGAAAACCAGTAAAATCGACATGTTTTCCATATTAATTTGTGAATATTTAAAATGTTTAATAAAGGGGCAAAAAGTCATTTAAACAAAAATCTGAAAAAGTCTGTCGATATTTACTTTTTTGCGCAGCAGTTGGTGAAGCCAGTTCAAATTAAAATTTTGTTCAACTTTGCGTTTTAAAAAGACAACAACCGTTCATTTTTCGTTTTTCAGTTACGGGTTAAAAAAGATAGATAATAATATGCAAATCTGCAATAATGGAAACGCGACTGACAAGCAATGATAGAAATGAATGATGATGATGATGACTTGTTTGGTAAGCTTCTATTTTAAAAGTTTCTTTCTCTCCCCCCCAAAATTTTCACACGTTTTGCCAGGTTTAGCCTCAGTTATGAATTAAAATGTGTTTATTGCAACTAATGTAAACTGTAGAGATGCAACCTGGTCATTAAAATAATTTCAAATGGGATTTTCTTTTCAGTCTTTTTTTCTTCGTTTTCTCCCCCGCCACTTTGGCGGCCCTCAGTTCAATGTTGGGTTCCTAAATTGGCCCTCACCTATCAAAACTTTGAGAACCCCTGGTTTATAGTGTAGCGATGTATGAAGTACAGTTCGCATACTTTCAAACCAAGTAGATTTTTGTTGTTCAACACGGCAAATTTGCGTGACCAACTCGAACTCATTGTGAAATCTGTATGGGGGAAATCCTCAGTGATGGGAATAACGCCGTTACTAACGGCATTACTTTTTCCAGTAACGAGTAATCTAATTGATTACTCTTCTCATCTTAATAACGCCGTTACCGTTACTGCCGAGAGGCAAATACTTTTTTTACTGTTCTTCCTTGGTTAGTGGGCAGATCATGAGACAAGCGCATAAATGCTGACGATTGGCTGAGGTAGAGTAAAATGTCATTGTAAGCCAATCAGAGGTAGAGTTGGGCGGGTGTTCGAAAGCACGCATAGTTGTGATGGGCATTCGGCTCTTTTGACTCAGCTCACTGAAAAGAGCCGGCTCTTTTGGCTCACAAACGGCTCTTTAAATGACTTTGACTATAATATTTCAATTTTTATTACATAATTATTTAATTTCTATAGGCTAAATTTGTAAAAATAGAGTCGGCTCTTCAGATATGCGAGATATGGCTCATAGAGTCGGCTCATTCGCGAATCGCGAACGAGTCGATCCATCATCACTAACGCTCATTCGCGAACGACCCATCATCACTAACGGCTAACGCTCATGAATTGCGAACGACCCATCATCATAACGCATAGTCGGACAGGACACGACACACAAGGAACAACACAAGCCAGTCAGTCTTTTTGGTATATTGCTTAACAAGCTTAATTAAATTTTGCCCAGTTGTGGCCTGTTGAGGGGCAACAAATATCAAAAGTTCCAAAACATCTATTGTGTTATTTGCATTGATCCACTATATAAACATAATATCTACATACATGGCATTTGATTGGAGGCTAGTCTCACTTTGTCCCACAGCAACATAATTTTTTTTAGATGTGTGTACAATGTTTCTGTTAATAATGTATTGTATTAAGTGTCCATTTCATTATAATATTCAGATTTATCATAAATAATTGAACATGCACATGTATTTTAAGTTCCGTTAAAGAGGGGTAGAGGTGGGGTCACATTTGAGCATTTAAAATTTAATTTTACTTGAAAGTAACGCAAAAGTTACTATCTTAAGTAACTAGTTACTTTTAAAATTTGTAACTGAGTAACTAATTTAGTTACTTTTTGGAAGAAGTAACTAGTAACTGTAACTAATTACTTTTTAAAAGTAATTTGCCCAACACTGGAAATCCTACACTCTTACATGAACAACAGTTTATGTGACTGCTCCTTAAAGGGACAGTTCGCCCAAAAATTTAAAATCTGTAATTTATTGCTCACCCTCGTGTCATTTAAAACCCTTAAAGTCCCCCTGTAGTCAATAATTGTATCCCTTAAAACGAATCGGTTACCTAACGTAACCTCGGTTCTCTCTAGAAGAGGGAACGAGTATTGCGTAAGCTAGCTTACGCTGCGGGAAAGATTCATCTTTGCTGAGATATTGAAGCCAAAAATTATTTCATAATTTGTATCCATACACAACGCAGTTCCTCTGCGGCAGACCTAGAGCAGGCTAGCTAGCAGCTCATTGGTTCGCTCAGAGAGAACTGCTTAAGCCTATGGGAGAGCGGGGCTGAACCCGCTTCCAATGAGAGGCGCCCGCGCGCTCATTGCGTCATGGCCCGCCAGAATGGGCGTGGCCATGGTGTATATAACAGTCTCTCCCAGGCTTATATGTTGATTTATTTCAGCGTGAAGCGAAACGCTAGTAGCGCAAGCACGGCCGGGAACGCAATACTCGTTCCCTCTTCTAGAGAGAACCGAGGTTACGTTAGGTAACCGATTCGTTCTCTTACGAGAGGTTCTCTCGTATTGCGTAAGCTAGCTTACGCTGCGGGAACACCTGGTCAACGCCGTGCGCGCTATGAATCCACTCATGAATCCCAGGGTGATACCGGGGGATTTTTAACGTGGAGTGAATGTATTATGAGGCCGGCAGAGCGGGCACATGAAGTGTATACATAAGCATGTATGAGGCGGGCAGAGCGGGCACATGAAGTGTATAAGCATTTAAGGAGAGCACAAGGGGCGAACCGGTTGTGTGAGGGACTCCCAGTAATGCAGCTTCTTAGGGAGCTGGTCGTTAGACAGCTAGTAATTTTGCCTGCAAGGCTGGAACTTCCAAGTTGTAAAATCTGACAAAAGTGGACGGGGAGGCCCATCCCGCGGCCACACAAATGTCATGAATGGAAATTCCACAGGACCATGCCCACGATGAGGCCATGCCTCTAGTGGAGTGCGCCCTGATGCCCAGAGGGCAGGGCAGGCATTTAGATGCGTAAGCAGAGGCGATAGCGTCTACTATCCATCTAGACAGTGTCTGTTTAGAGGCGGCCAGACCTTTGGTGCGCCCCCCCAAACGACACGAAAAGCTGCTCAGCGCGTCTGAACGCGGCAGCGCGCGTAGTGTACAATCTCAGAGCCCGCACCGGGCAGAGGAGATTGGCGTCGCGCTCACTATCGGATGAAGGCAGACCCGATAGGGAAATAATCTGAGCCCTGAACGGGGTACCAATCGCCTTCGGGACATAGCCATGTCTAGGTTTGAGAATGACAACAGAATCATTCGGACCAAACTCGAGACACGCGGCGCTGGATGAGAGCGCGTAAAGATCCCCCACGCGTTTTACTGAGGACAGAGCCGTCAGAAAAACGGTTTTGAGCGAGAGGTATTTTAGGTCCACAGACTCGAGCGGTTCGAACGGGGGTGCTTTCATAGCTTCGAGAACTATAGAAAGATCCCAGATAGGAACCGAAGGGGGGCGCGGAGGGTTCATCCTCTTAGCTCCCCTGAGGAAGCGGATGACTAACTCGTCTTTGCCCAGGGACTGAGCGCGTCGGGGTTCAGAGAACGCCGCGACGGCTGCCACGTAAACCTTGAGAGTGGAGGGGGACCTGCCCTTGTCCAGCATCTCTTGAAGGAAAACAAGCAAAGACGGCACCTCGCATGACCGTGGGTCCAGATGTTTGTCGGTGCACCATTTTGAGAACACAGACCATTTAGACGCATAGAGCCTTCTCGTGGAAGGTGCTCTAGCCTGTATGATAGTGTTTCTTACTCCTTCTGGCAAATCAACGAATAGTCGTTGATCACCCATGCATGTAGCGCCTAGCGCCGTGGATGGGGGTGCCAGATCGTGCCGCGAGCCTGAGAGAGGAGATCTGCTCTGACTGGGATGGGCCACGGGGCTGTCTGCGACAGCTGAGTGAGCTCCGGAACCCAATTCTGACTCTCCCAACGCGGGGCTATGAGGAGCACCGAGTGGCGTGTGTCCCTGATCCTCTGAATTACCTGTGGTAGCAGAGCGATCGGAGGGAATGCATAGAGCGGGCGGCGAGGCCATTCCTGGGCTAGCGCGTCCTCGCTCCTTGAGAAAAATATTGGGCAGTGAGCGTTCTCTTCTGACGCGAAGAGGTCCACCTCTGCTCTGCCGAATAGCCGCCACAGTATTTGGACCGTTTGTGTGTTCAGGGACCATTCTCCTGAGGAGATGAGGTTCCTGGACAGAATGTCTGGGCCGTCGTTCAGATGGCCCGGCACATGCGTCGCTCTGAGCGAGAGCAGGCGGCTCTGAGACCAAACTAAAATGCGGTGTGTCAGTAGGAAGAGATTCCTGGACCTGACACCGCCCTGACGGTTGAGATAGGAGACCACAGCCATGTTGTCCGAACGGATCAGGACGTGGTGTCCCCGAATGAGCGGGAGGAAGCGCGAAAGCGCGTTCTCGACCGCAAGCATTTCCAGACAGTTTATGTGTAAGGGGCTTTCCTGTGTCGACCAATGGCCGAAGGCCGGTGAGCCCTCGCAGACTGCACCCCAACCCGTGTTGGATGCATCTGTCGAGATGACTTTTCGGCGAGAAAAGGTCCCCATCGTGACGCCCTGTCGAAACCATTCTGCTACTGTCCATGGCTGCAGCGCCGTGAGACATGTCTCCGTAACTCTGATCAGCTGGCGGCCCGTGTTCCACGCGCGGTGGGGTACACGACTGTTTAACCAAAGCTGAAGCGGACGCATGTGCAGAAGGCCCAGCTGAAGCACAGCGGAGGCTGAGGCCATGTAACCCAGCATCCTCTGAAAAGATTTCAGAGGTGAGCGGGTGCCCATCTGAAACGAGGCGGCCAGTCGCTGTACACTGCGCGCGCGCTGTGTAGACAGGCGAGCCGTCATCGTGACCGAGTTCAAATCTATTCCTAGAAAGAAAAATCGATTGACTGGGTTGAAGGGAGCTCTTTGTCCAGTTGACAGAGAGGCCCAGCGTTTTCAGATGGTCGAGGAGAACTGCGCGGTGCGACAGAAGCTCCGTCTGTGATTGGGCCAAAATCAGCCAGTCGTCCAGATAATTCAATATGCGCAGCCCCTGGCTCCGCAGGGGGGCGAGCGCCGTATCCATGCACTTCGTAAATGTGCGGGGCGCCAGAGATAAGCCGAACGGGAGAACGGCGTATTGATAAACATGACCCTCGAAGGCGAAACGTAAGAATGGCCTGTGACGGGGATTTATCTGGATCTGAAAATAGGCGTCTTTCAGGTCTAGAGAGATGAACCAGTCCCCCTGGCGCACCTGCGCGAGGAGTTTCCTGGTAGTGAGCATCTTGAACGGTCTCTTCATGAGCACTTTGTTCAAAGACCTGAGATCTAAAATCGGTCTGAGGCCGCCGTCTTTCTTGGGAACCAGAAAATAACGGCCGTAAAACCCCGACTCGGTCATAGATGGTGGGACTCTCTCTATGGCGCCCTTTTGCAACAGCGTCGCAATTTCTGAGCGGAGCGTGCCGGCGGCCAGCGGGCTGACAGTAGATTCGAGCCGCGCGCGCGCACGAGGCGGGCGGCGGCGAAACTGTAGCAGATAGCTGTCCTTTATAATGCTTAGCACCCACGGGGAAATGCCTGGAATGGCTTCCCACGCTTTGGAGCATGCGGCTAGTGGCCGAATGGCTATATCGCCCTGATTGCTGCACATAGCGGGCTGGACACAGTGTGTGGGCGCGCTTTGAATGTGTGTGGCAACGGGATTTGCACTCAGAGAGGAGTCTATGGGCCGTGAAACAGAGCGAGCAGAGAGGGGACACGCGCACGAGCTCGTGGGCGTGTTTATGTTCTCTGATATTAGAGCGGGCTGTGCCCGTTTCATGTGATGGGGCTCTGATAGAGACACGGGGTATGTTATGCTTGTGTGTATGGGTGAGCACATGATTGTGGGCACTTTTTCTACACAACTGGCAAATTTTCTCTTTTTGAGATTTCTCTGGGTAGCCGTAAAAACGGCTTTTTGTCGCTCGCAAGCGGGCTGGGACACCGGCTTGTTTGTGGCGGTCAACACTACAGCAGTCGGCGAAATAACGGGGACTGACAGAGGGCGAAGCTTTGACGGCGGTCCGGCCGCAGCGGGAGAGCACCGTCGTTTTCTTGACTTTGCTAGGCAGACTTCTGATGATCAGGCTTCAGCGTGATCTTAGGTCGCGGGCCTCGTGGGGGCGGCGGTCTGCGGCGGCTGTCAGAGCGAGAGCGAGGGCGGCCGCCCTGTCTGCGCTGGGCTGTTTGAGTCTGCGGAGGGGGGCGCTGTGGTGGAGCTCTGGCAGGAGGCTCGCGAGAGCGGCCCGCGGAAGAGCTAGCGCGGCGGAGCAGAAACAAATTCATCGCCTGAGTAGCTTTCTGGACCTCAGAAAAGCGATCGACGATTCCCGTGACAGCAGATCCAAAAAGGCCCGTCGGGGAGAGGGGCGCGTTAAGAAACGCGGCGCGCTCAGAATCTCCCATGTCGGCGAGCGTGAGCCATAAGTGTCTCTCGGCAACACAAAGGCTGGCCATGCATCTCCCCAGAGCTTGTGCGGCGGCTTTAGTGGCGCGAAGGGCGAGGTCCGTAGCACTTCTCAGATCCGTGACAGCGGGGGAGGGGTTTTTACCGCCTTCGGCCCACTCACGGAGAATATCGCTCTGTAATACTTGGAGGACAGACATCGAATGTAGCGCTGCGGCGGCCTGACCGGCGGCGGCGTAGGCGCGAGCATGAAAGCTCGAGGTCGCTCTGCAAGCTTTCGAAGGAAGCGTGGGGGAAGAGCGCCATCTAGCAGAGGGCGGGCAGAGGTGTGCGGCGACCAAGTCCTCGACGGGCGGCATGGCTGAGTAGCCTTTCTCGGCGGCTCCGTCCACCGAGCGCAGCGAGGCGGATATATCAGAGCGGTTTCTAGCCGAGAGCAGGGCATTCCAGGACTTCGTCAGCTCTGCGTGAAGTTCAGGCAGGAATGGAGCGGCCCGGTTGCACGCGGGGGTCGAGCGCCGATGAAAAAAGCTGCCGTCCATCCGGTTCGGGGCCTGCTCGGGTGGAGGAGACCACTCGAGACCGAGGCGTTCGACGGCCTGTGAGAAGAGGCGCATTAGTTCCTCCTCTATCCCGGCGCGGATCCCCGCCGATTCTCTCGTGGATCCGAGAGATGACCATTCTTCACTGTCAGAAGCGAGCAGTGAACAGGAGTCCTTCTCCTCCGCGGCGTCATCGGAAGCGACAGAGCGGCCACTCGGCGGCAACTGTATGTCCGGCAGGGGCGGGGAGGGAGAGCGGGAAGCGGGAGGCGGCGGCGGCGGCCCGCATTGTTCCGCTGGGGGCTCCGGCGGCCTCTGGGAGCGGCGTTTTTTCTTACGCGGCGAAGAGGAAGGCGGCGCGGGAGCGGATTTTGCTGCCAGAAGTCGTGCCCGCAGGGACGACAACGGCAGGCTCTCACAGAAGTCGCATCCTCCATCCGCGAGGGCGAGTTCTGCGTGCTCGAGTCCCAGGCAGAGAGCGCAGATGACATGGCGGTCTCTGTCCTCGAGACGAGCGCGGCAAGAGCCGCAGGAAAAACGAGACATCTTTAAAAAGACGCTCAGCTCTTTTAGATATAATAGAGAAGGATACAGTCGTCGGATGGCGCTAGCTTGCAGGGCGGCTGAAGGTGGCGAAGACGGCCGGCTTCTTCAGGGTCCGGGAGCTCGCTAGAGTGATGCCTTCTCGACGGCGACGGCTTTTCTCAGGACAGCAGAAGCGTGCAGCTTGCTGAAGATGAAATGAATCAACATATAAGCCTGGGAGAGACTGTTATATACACCATGGCCACGCCCATTCTGGCGGGCCATGACGCAATGAGCGCGCGGGCGCCTCTCATTGGAAGCGGGTTCAGCCCCGCTCTCCCATAGGCTTAAGCAGTTCTCTCTGAGCGAACCAATGAGCTGCTAGCTAGCCTGCTCTAGGTCTGCCGCAGAGGAACTGCGTTGTGTATGGATACAAATTATGAAATAATTTTTGGCTTCAATATCTCAGCAAAGATGAATCTTTCCCGCAGCGTAAGCTAGCTTACGCAATACGAGAGAACCTCTCGTAAGAGAACTCACCTTTGATCACCAAAATGACATATTTAAATGTTTTTTTCCTTGAAAAAACAATTGTCATGCCTTAAAATAGCTTGAATGTAACTCTTGCCTCATTTAGTATACACGGTTCTATGAATATGCAAATTAGCCCCACCTCCACTCACTCACACCAGCTCAGAGATCCACTCGTTGATGATCACTGATGATCACATGTTGACGTGATTGGTTACAAGGTAGTTTGTGACGTCAGAAACACCAGCGATTTCAAACCGTGTTTTTTTCACTTGGTGGTGTTGACTTATGAATTTGCACATGGTTTGTCTTAAAGCATATTAAAATATATTTATTTATATTTACATAAATTTTCACCACAGGGGGACTTTTGTTTATTGTAAAAGAAATCCATATGAATCGAGCGGTTTAATCCAAGTCTGATGAGACATGATCACTTTTTAAGATGGACAGATTTGGGATAGTTCATCCAAAAATTTAAATTCTGGTTGTTCCAAACCTGTATGAATTTCTTTCTTCTGCTGAACACAAAAGAAGATATTTTGAAGAAAGTCAGTAGCCAAACAGTTGAAAAAAAACCTTCTTTTTTTTCATACTATAAAAGTCAATGAGGCCCTTCAACCGTTTGTTTACCGACATTCTTCAAAATATCTTCCGTGTTAAACAGAAGAATGAAATACATACAGGTTTGGAACAACTTGAGGGTAAGTGAGTCAAATTTATTCCCTCTCAGTGTGAAAAAGTGTGCTAAATTTTTCACTGATCTTGCGCCGTTTGCTTTGCGTCCAGCTCCAGTGCGCGACCAGAGCCCCAGACGCCTCCTTCCAAGCTGCCATACATGGAGAGCCGCCCGCCCGGCCTTGGAGAGGAGCCCGGGGAGGAGATTCGACAGCAGCTGGCGGAGCAGACCAAGCGTGGCTATTACACCACAGCACAAAAGTATCAGGACACTGAGCTGTAGAGTTCCTCTGCTTCGGCTCACTGCACAGCTTCACCATTCCACCGGGGCGCCGCCCTGCACCAAAACTGCTGCTGCTGCTGACTTGGAAGTCCCGTTTGCTTTTAAGTTTCCCATGCATATATTTGTCTTTTTCACTTCAAAGAAGTTCAACTTTCTGTCCGTGTGGATAGAATCTTATATTTGCATTCGTTTTGTTTCCTTCTGTGTGATTCCAGAACCATGTTTTTTCTTGCCTATGCAATTTTTTCAGTTTCTGCAACGCTACAGAAACGTCTTGCCACGAGTCTTCGCTCCATGAAAACCTTAAACCTGTCGTGTGCTACAAACCAGCTTTTTGTTACTTTCTTTTTATAAGCCTGAAGCAAAACTGTTTTAAAACGTCACTCTCTTTAAGGTTTATACTACAGTATCTTTGCATTCCTTCATTTCTGATCATGTGTGTTATATGATGTAAGACAATACACTGGATTTTGTTACAACATTTTGAAGTGCCTTTTACTTTACGAATAATGTTGGAGGTTTGTGGACTTGACAATCCAGCCCTCTGGACAATATTTTTGCTGCTTACAGCTCCAAGGAAAAACAGGGAAAAAGTCAACACCAAAACCCTTAATACCGTCCGCCCGTCTCCTCAGTGTAGCGACAGCAACGACAAATGAGTTCCGTTTCCGAAGGGACACTTCACAATTCAGGTGGATGCTGGATGGTTCGAGCTATGGGAATTGCTGATGTCACGGTTTGTCTTATTTCAACCCCACTGCATTACGTTTTTAACATGCTTGATTGTAGGTTAGTCCGCTTTACCTCCACGCGTTGGTTCAAAGTGCTTCTAAAACTCGTGGATTATATTTTGATGGCTTCCACTGTGTGTGAGGGTCACACGGCGAGAGAATTTTCCCTGGACTTTTACGTTCAGGTCTACTGTGGAATTTCACTCTACTACACCAAATAAAATAAACTATATTGACTTTCTTGACTTAGTTGTGTGTTTTTTAATATTCAAACAGATTCAAAAAACACATTTGTCAAAATATCTTTTAGGTTTCACCTAAAAGAAAGTCATACAGGTTTGAAGAAACACGAGGGAGAGTAAATGAAGATTTTTGGGTGAGTTATTCCTTTAAACACCATAACAGAAAGTTATGTCTGCACTGAAAAATGACAATCCAACCCCTACTAGCATCAAATTAGCATGACTTCTTTGTTATATACAGAATAAATTGACTGTATTTTACTGAGATTTCCCATCTGTATGGTATAAGCAATGGAAATTGATTCTGTCATGAAACGCAGTGGTTGTGTTGGGTCCAGTGAGTCGGCTCTTGTCCAGCACGGTGTTGAAGCCGTTTTCTCTGTACATGCCACTTTTCAGAAGATGCTCAGAAAACTTCCGACGACTTCCTTTAAAGATTGTCTGAAAAATAAACGGTGGGTGTAAATACGAATAATCTTATTAATATGGCAGTGTATGGTGTGCTACTTACCGGCATTTCATGAACTGTTGGTTTTTTGCTTCCATATGTTTGACTTGTTGTTTGGTACAGAGGGTTGATCATTTTTGGGCTGAAAAGTATAATGAGGCTGCTTTATAGGATCATTGTTATTGGTATAATAATTTGATTTGCTTATTTCTATGAAGATGGACCAATGGCAGTGTACTTTATCTAGATAGATACTAATAAGCCTCATCTATGCCTCTAAAGAGAATATATTCGTGTATTTATATGACTAATAAGCCTTATCATGCCTCTAAAGAGCATATATTCGTATATTTATATGAATGAACGAACGAACGAAATAAATGCATTTCAGATTTAGATCACATGATCCACTGCGGCTGCATGACTCTTCTCACCTGTATCCTCTGAAACACTCCGGATTATTAAAGCGAGTTGGTAAGTTTTTATCCACATTGTACACATTGCTTGTCTTTATTTCAAATGTATCATTAGCTAACACTTCAGGCTCCGTCCTTGTCTCTTCATCTGCGGAATGATCGTCCATGTTTCCGTTTGTGGGTCGAGGCTAACACTAGACTTTCCCTGTGAGAAGTGCGACTGTGCGAGTGATTGGTTGCTATATCAACACTGTAACTAGGTGACGTCATGTGCCTCCGCTCAGTCTTTAGTTGGTAATTTCTTCACAAAATTGTTTTTCAAAGATAGAAAATGATGTCAGCATGTTATGAAGTAAAATTCTTTGGCCTGGTTTCACAGACAGGGGTTAGCTAGGAATAGGCCTTTTAGGCCTATTATATATATATATTTGAAGACTTCAGATGCAAAAGCCTCTAAGTGCCATCTAAAATTTTCTTCTAGAATTATCATTTTTATCAAGCTTGTATGTTTATGTTCAGTTATTTCACTTTAATGGCAAAGACAATTACCTATTAATTGTCATTAAAGTGAAATTACTGAACTTAAATATACAAGCTTGATAAAAATGATAATTCTAGAAGAAAATGTCAGATGGCACTTCAGAAGTCTTCATTTATATTTATTTAAACAACAGACCTTTTTAATGAGTGAAAACTTAAATTTTCATTAAAAAATGCTCCGACAACCTCTTTCTCAAATATATTTTATTGCATTCAAATTTAACCGAACATTAAATACTCTAAATATTGATAAAAATATAAACCATTTTTGTATGATTTTTATTTAATAAAACATATTTAAACATGGTATACACATTACTATTTTCTTATTTGCATCAATTGCATGTTACATTGTGACAACGGAATCTGTTTTGTTACAAAAGCAAAAGGATTATAATGAACATTGAAGTTTGTAAAAGGCTGTCATACGTCCACGGACCTCTCAACCTAGAAAAAAAGGCAAAAGAACAACAGATTCAACCATCATTGCTTTTTTACAAAATTAATTATTTTTTACATTTAGTTATTTGGACATCATACAACCACGTCTAAATCACCCCTTAACATTTACATTTAGTAGTTTTTATACATAGGAAATAATAGTAAAACCCAGCTTTATAGCCAGGTAAACGCTTGATTTCCGCTGGAGGTGATGCTCACATGTTCAGACTGCTTACTTCTGCATACAGAAGTGTAATGCTGCATACCCTTGATAAACATTTTGAGTTGAGTTTCCACTTCTGTGATCGAATGCAATTTACTTCACTTTAAACCTAAAATTAAAACAATACAGTGTGTCCATCATCAAGTGCAGTTTCATAAATATAAAAAAAGTGAATTGAATAATGCCAAAGGCAAGTATGTGTGGGCATGGTTCGGTTTTGATGCAAGTGCAAAGTGTTAATTTATGCAAACATTCATATTAAAATGTTTCCTCTTTATTGATTTGCTTCCAAACCTGGCTTGAGTTTCTCCACGCTGATAAACACACTGCCACAGTGCATTATTACTCACGGTACGAGTTTGAGTCTGGCCTAGCGCGTACCAAAAGTAATAATGGACTGTGAAGCAGTTAAAAGGGCTTCTTTCTTCTCGTCAAGGCATGACATTGTAAAATTAAACCATGTATATTGTTTCAAACACGTAGAATTTTTACATATTCGTAAATTGCTACAATTATGCAGACTTTACCTTTTACCTCAGAGGTGCCTGATACATTCTGAGAGGTTAAAGGGATAGTTCATCATTTACTCACCCTCAAGTTGTACTCACCCAAACCTGTATGAATTTCTGTCTTCAGCTGAACACAAAAGAAGATATTTTGAAGAATGTTGGTAACCAAACAGTTGATGATAGCCATTGACTTCCATAATATTTCTTTTCCTACTATGGAAGTCAATGGCTACTGTCAACTGTCTGGTTGCCAACATTCTTCATAATATCTTGTATTCAGCAGAAGAGAGTAATTCATACAGGTTTGGAACAGCGAGTAAATGATGAGAAAATGTTCATTTTTGGGTGAACTATCCCTTTAAATCCAATCCATCCATGGCTGCAGTGATGGAGTAGAAAAACATGATGTAATACTTTAAACAAAGCAATATTGTAAGACTAATCTGAAATAACTTTGTTTATAACATTGTTCCATCCACTCTAATATGAATATAAATACATGCACAACAAAACAAATAATTAAACACTTCCACGCCCGCCTAGTTTATTTAAAATTGCGCCCTCTGTTGGCAAATTGTAAAATTATGTGATCCGCTGACGTAGTTTGATTAAAAATAAATTATAAATCTGTTTCTAAAATGTTAATTAAATGTATAACAATATATTACATATAACATAAAGCACTTATATTATTCTATACTTCTTGTATACTACTTTTTCAAAAATTTCAAACAAATATGAAGTAAAATCAGGAAATGCATCACATAGATTGATGCATTATCACAACCTTAAGAGAAAAGCCAATGGCCTTATTAATTTGAGAAATTTTCAACCGAAACATTAAAGTGTCCATTTTGTATATTATTGTTTTGGACTAAAATAGCAACAATAACATAATTAAAGCATTTCCAAAAAGCAACAACATATTGTTCATTAGTGTAATGTAAAGTGTGACCAAAAATCCTTGGAAAATGGTTTGTTCTAAACTCTACCTGAAAGTTATGGATCTGTTTCCAATTTCGGTCCAGCTGGTGAATCTGAGACACGAGGAGGTCCATAGACGAAGGACTGTGCTCCAGAAGCAGGACTTTACTATTGCAGTCATTGTAGCTGATACCTCTGTCCAGGCATGTGAGAAATGAAATGCCTTTCTCGTGTAAGAGGTTCTTTTTATTTGACCTTCCTGTGGAAGTGAGGAATCAGGATGGTCATTCCCCAAACCGGAATTCCTGTGTGTGTTTGGAACTGATAAAACTGCTGTAAAGAACAATCTCCATCCTCCTAGAACTGCTGGAGTCTGTCAGTGAACTCTGAGAAGAATTGATCATTCTTTTGAAGTGGGAAGTTATGCACACTTAAGCAAAAATAATTGTTTTTAGAATTACTGCATCTTCTAATTATATATTTGACATAACTAGGGTTCATTTAGTTCTGCTTGGGGCTGTTGAAAACTGTGCTTCGAAAACATGGTGAACATGATTCAACAACACGTTCTTGGATCAACATTTCTGCTGATCCTGAAACAACATTCCAATCAACCAATCAGATTTGAGGGACAAGTTTAGAGTTTATGTCAACTTTAAGCTTACAACTAGGGTTAGGTGCTTCTGCATCAGCGTGAGACTCACACAATTGACACTGTTTTCACGCTCTCAGTCACGCCACATCTATTTTCATTTTCTCATTCAGTGAAAAAACATCGCAGAGCAAAGAGGACACTGACAACGCACCGACAGACAAGACAGCAGGATACTTTTGATATGAAACAAAGTCTCAGCTTTCAAATTCTGTCAATTTTATTACAAAATAAAGAAAAAATAGATAGCCTAGTTCAGGCTGATAGGTCTTTAACTCATTTAGTAGTGATCATATCATTATCTATTCTACACTGTCAATTTTATTACAAAAAAATAAATAAATAGATTAGCCTAGTTCAGGCTGATAGGTCTTTAACTCATTTAGTAGTGATCATATCATTATCTACACAGTGCAGCTGATTGGTTGCTGTTGCATCAGTGGCCAATGAGCTGCAGCTCAACATTCAAATACAAGTAGTTTGCTATTAGCAGTCTGCAGTGCACTTTAGAAACCCTCCACCTTCCCCAGCTCCACCTGTTTAGATCTGCTATACGGGGGTTATTTCATTTATGCCAATGCCAAATCAATTAATTACCATGGCAATCTCTCCGAGAGTTGTCATGACAGAACTATTGTTTTGGCGCTCTTGAATGTGGCGTGACAGATCGCTGTAGCACCTCAGTTCAAGCGGCACGTGAACCGATCCGTGTTATTACTACTATAGCACCATATGAATGAACATCAGAAGTTACGTTGAAAGATACAGTACAGCTTACTGAAATGTCTCAGGTAATCGTTCAATGATAATTTCAACCACGGAAAGACGTGAATAAAACAGCAGAGGTGGGTAGTAACGAAGTACATTTACTTCGTTACATTTACTTGAGTATTTTTTTGGAAAATTTTTACTTTTAAGAGTAGATTTAATTGTGGGTACTTTTACTCTAACTCGAGTACATTTCTAATGAAAAAACTGTACTTTTATTTCGTTACGTTGAGCGACGTTCCTCTCGTTACTTTATTTTAATGCAATATGTTGTTAAAAGCGTAGTTTATTCTAAGCGCGCGCTCTCTCTTTTTTATGGGCATGAGCGATGCTCAATTCACAAATGAATCACTCTTTTGAGTCGATTCTGTTCAAAGACTTCATCAAACAAGTTGGGCAGATCTGTCTAAATCGGTTCGCGAATCAGTTTGAATGATCTGTTCAGTTTCCTGCACACACTGCATCGTCTCGGAGTCGTAACAGGAAGATTTAAGAACATCAAGAGCGTTGTATGAAGTGGCGGTCCACAGTCTACAGTACAGTCTAGAAAGTAAATCTGCAAATGCATCATATTTTTTGCGAGCGATGAAGATCTTTATTAGTTGAACATCTTCGTATGTTACTTCGTAAGCTGTCTGTGAATGAATTATTCCACACGACAATACATTCGATTTCATTCAGGTAATACATTTTACCACCAAACTGATTATTACGCCATATATAGCACTACTACAAAGTATGGCATTACCCCTTTTTTTGGACATATACATTACTTTATACATTAAATAAGCTATCATCGTCAGTTTATGAATGTGTGTACACACACAATGTGTTTATTGCGCAGTGGCGTGCGAACTCGACTTGAAAACGAATGCCTTTGCCTACCTTATTAGACACAGTTAACCAGTTTAAAGATGCTTTCATAAATATAGCCTACATTTAAATACATTTTGGAGAACAGACAGAAGAAGATCCTTGCATTTGATCGTTGTTTGTGTTGGGCATGACATGACTGCCATATCCCTTTACATTTGAATGCAAAACTCCATAGAGTCACTTTATTCCGACATTGTCTAATAATCCAAATGTAGTTGCATAAGTTATTATACTATTATACAAACCAAAGGACAGGCAATGGTTTTCGGGCTATAGATATAATATACAGATATACAGAAATAATGTTTGTCTCTTCTGTTTTTGTTGCAAAGATAGCTTATCTAATTATGATAATTTTAGTCAGTCATAAAATGAAAAAATATCTAAATAATATCATGTTATATATATATATATGTGGTTAGTTACTAGTTACTTTGGATCACATAGGCCTATGTGATCCAAAGTAACTAGTAACTAACTACTTGAGTAGTTTTTTCATTGGTTACTTTTTTACTCGTACTCAAGTAACTTTTAAGATTATTACTTTTACTTTTACTTTGAGTAAATATTTCTATAAGTACTTGTACTTTTACTTGAGTACAGTTTTTGGATACTCTACCCACCTCTGTAAAACAGCTTGTGAACGTCATGTAAAGCCAATCAATGACCATATAATATAGCATGTTAGTCAGTTAGCAAGAAAAATTTACTCTTGAGAGAGGATCATTTTGCTAAATACATGCACTATATAACATATTTATTATTTGTTCTCTTACATCATTAAACATATTATAACGTTATTATAAAACCCCATTAATTAAGTAAGAATGAGTTGGTAATTTTAACCTTTAATAACAATAGCAGCTGACAGGTTTCTCTGTATTTACAGCATTAGTTGAGAGGGATTTGTTTCCTTAAAGGGATAGTTCACTTTGAAATTAATTTTTGATATGTTTTAGCTTACCTCAAGGGCATCCAAGATGTAGGTGTCTTTGTGTCCACAGTATTTTCAATTTTGTTATTTTTAGGTCAAACCGTTCTTGTCTGTCTATCATATAATGCAGGTCTATGGTCACCACCTCAAAGAGCATGCACAGAGAAGTCCAAATTAAACATGATTTAATGACTCGTAAATGTAAGTACACATTGATGGCCTAAGACACGAAACGAGCGGTTTGTGTGAGAAAACGAACAATATTTATATAGTTTTGACCTCTTGTAATCACAGTCACGTCCAAGTACTCTGATGGCGCGGGCGGCTGTCTGCGCAAGCGCCGGCAAGCACCGGAAAGCCCCGGAAGTGATCTCTCGCGCGTGTACGTCACTCATTGTTTACACAGAGATTTCAGACGTAAAATCTCTCTTTTTTTCTAATTTCTTTCCGAAATCGTCTTCCATTGCGATTTCCTGTATATCTAAATATGTTTAGATCTTCACAGTGAAAGGTAAAACGTCCGAAATCTCTGTGTAAACAATGAGTGATGTACACGCGCGAGAGATCACTTCCGGTGCTTGCCGGCGCTTGCGCAGACCGAGGCGCCCGCGCCATCAGATCACTTGGACGTGACTGTGATTACAAGAGGTAAAAACGATATAAATACTGTTCGTTTTCTCACACAAACCGCTCGTTTCGTGTCTTAGGCCATCAATGTGTACTTACATTTACGAGTCATTAAATCATGTTTAATTTGGACTTCTCTGTGCATGCTCTTTGAGGTGGTGACCATAGACCTGCATTATATGACTGATAGACAAGAACGGTTTGACCTAAAAATAACAAAATTGAAAATACTGTGG